ATTTTCATCTAAATTTTGTTTGAAAAGAAATGCTTTTTTAAAGAACTAATAATTAAACTTATAAAATGCATTTTCTCTATGTGGAAAAATGTTTCTCTACTGATTTTTGCTTAATTCCTTGGTGAATCTAGCTAGGCCGGGAGCTTAGCATTATCATTTAATCTCTCGCATTCTTTTTTTTTTGTTTTTTTTTGTTTGAGGAGATGCGACCTTTATGAGATTTTAATACATCTCAAAATTTTGAGCTATGTAGCTTCACTGAATGCAGATAATATAAATTTTGGTAGCGATACCAAAGCAATCAAAAGGGAATTAGTTTGATATACTTACAAATTATAAATTCTTTATAAGTGATAATTTGAGGCAAAATCTTTCCATGTATATGTTGTATAACACTTATATGCTATTATTATCATGATTATTATTAGTCATTGCTATTATTGCTCTTGTTATTATTATTATTATTATTATAGTAAAACTTATAAAATTAATCCCCTAGATTGATGTCGATTTTTGTCGAATTTAGTGAGGTATAAAGAAAATTGAACGCGTAACCTTGTTCTTTAAATTATTTCATATATTATGAGGGTGAGAGGTCTCGTAGTGTTAGACTTTAGTATTATCTCATCTTTCATCCCTCTCCCTGGTCCTCTCCTCCCTCTCCTTCGCCCTATCCTCCCGACCCTCTCGATGGCCCAGTGATCCCTACCTTTCTCTCTTTCACCCCTGTCCTCGGCCCTCTCCCGCCTCTTTTTGTCTCTTTCATCCCTCTCATTGGCCCTTTCAATGGCCCTCTCCTCTCTCTCCTTCGCCCTCTCCTCCCTCTCCCTGGCCCTCTCAATGGCCTTGTCTTCCCTCTCTTTCTCTCTTTCACCCCTCTCCTCAACCCTCTCATGCCTCTGCATCTCTTTCATCCCTCTCCTTAGCCCTTTCATTGGACCTCTCCTCCCTCTCCTTCGCCCTCTTCTCCCCCTCCTTCGCCTTTTCCTCCCTTTGCCTAGCCCTCTCAATGGCCCTGTTGTCCCTCTATTTCTCTCTTTCACCCCTCGGCTCTATCCTGCCTTTCTTTGTCTCTTTCATCCCTCTCCTTGGCCCTCTCCCTGACCCTCTCCCTGACCCTCTCATCCCTCGACCTGGCCCTCCTCCCTATCAACCTCCCTCGCTGCCTTTTGTCACTCTCCAACCTATCCATCTCCCATTTCCATCGGTTCTTCCTCTCATTCCCTCTCGACGAATTCCAGCTATAGCCTCTCGGCTGCCCAATCACTCAGCCTTCACAATATCTCCCCCCCACAACTATTGCTCGCCATCCTACGCATACATCTTCCCACTCTTATCATCTGCAGCGCATCGTCGTCAGCACACTAGCTCTCACCCCCAAGAACCTCATCTGCAGGGTTGTTCCTAACAAGATCACTAAGAACCTGATCTGCAGGGTTCTTACCCCCAGAATCATCGCTAAGATCCTGGTCAGGTTTCTCTCCCCGACATCACCACCGATTTCCTGAGGAGGGTGCTCGCCCCTCTTCCTCCTGCAACTCAACCTCCTCGTACCCCATCATCCCCTTCCCCTTGGCACGAGGACTGCTGGCATTCGGAGATTGATCCCTGCAATAGTCGATAAGGACTGTCGGCGGCTACGACGACGATGTGGGGTTGGTGGGCTCTGCGATTGTTAGTGGTCGGGCTTGGGCTTCGATTTTCGCATCGATGTTAGATACTGCGGCTGAGCGTGCTGACGGGTTAACAAAGGGAGGAGGCGACGTCGCCGACGGTCGGGAGGAGGAGGACGACGACGATAGGGGGGCGCCTTCGCTCGTAACTGCTCTTCTTCCGACCGACCTTTCAAAAAAACTGCCACAAATTCTGTCTCTCGAAGATCGTCATGATCTCTGGCGGTGAGGGGTAGAGAGGGAGAGAGGAGAACAAAGTATTATTGGTTCTTAAAAGAAAGAAAGAGAAAGAGAGAGAGTGAGTGATGAGAGAGAACAGAAACGGTTAAGGGCCATTATATTTTAGAAAATTGAAGGTTTTTTTTTCTCGTTTACTTGCTCTCCAAGTTAACCGGTTACAGGGACACTTTCGGTATTTTTGTCTAAATTTTGTTTGAAAAGAAATGCTTTTTTAAAGAACTAATAATTAAACTTATAAAATGCATTTTCTCCATGTGCAAAAATGTTTGTCTACTGTTTTTTGCTTAATTCCTCGGTGAATCTAGCTAGGCCGGGAGCTTAGCATTATCATTTAATCTCTCGCATTCTTTCTTTTTTTTAGTTGTTTTTATTTGTGTTGTTTTGTTTGAGGAGATGCGGCCTTTTTGAGATTTTAATACGCCTTAGAATCTTGACCTATATAGCGTCATTGAATGCATATAATATAAGTTTTCGTAACGATACGAAACCAACCAAAAGGAAATTAATTTGATTTACTTACAAATTATAAATACTTTATAAGTGATAATTTGAGGCAAATCTTTCCCTGTATATGTTGTATAACACTTATATGCTATTATTATCATGATTATTATTATTGTCATTGCTAGTTTTGCTCTTATTATTATTATTATTATTATTATTATTATTATTATGGTAAAACTTATAAAATTAATCCCCTGAATTGATGTCGGTTTTTGTCGAATTCTGTAAGGTATAAAGAAAATCAAACGCGTAACCTTGTTCTTTAAATTATTTCGTATATTATGAGGGGGAGAGGTTTCATAGTATTAGACTTTAGCACTATCCCATCTTTCATCCCTTTTATTGACCCTTTCAATGGCCCTCTCCTCTCTCTCCTTCGCTCTCTCCTCCCTCTCCCTGGCCCTTTCGATGGCCCTGTCGTCCCTCTCTTTCTCTCTTTCACCCCTCTTCTGCCTCTCTTTGTTTCTTTCATCCTTCTACTTAGCCCTTTCAATGTCCCTCTCCTTCGCCCTTTCCTCCCTCTCCTTCGCCTTTTCCACCCTTTCCCTGACCCTCTCAATGGCCCTGTCGTCCCTCTCTTTCTATCTTGCCTCTCTGTCTCTTTCATCCCTCTCCTTTGCCCTTTCAATGACAATCTCCTTCCTCTCCTTCGCCTTTTCCTCCATCTCCCTGGACCTCTAATGGCCCTGTCGTCCCTCTCTTTCTCTCTTTCACCCCTCTCCTCGACTCTCCTGTCTTTCTTTGTCTCTTTCATCCCTCTCCTTGTCCCTCTTCCTGGCCCTCTCATCCCTCTCCCTGGCCCTCTCCTCCCTATCGGCCTCCCTCGCAGCCTTTTGCCCCTCTCCAACCTCTCCATCTCCCATTTCTACCGCTTCTTTCTCTCATCCCCCCTCTCGACAGGCTCCAACTGCAGCCTCTTGGTTGCCCAATCATTCAGCCTTCGCAACATCTCCCCCCACTATTGCTCGCCATCCTACGCATACCTCTTCTCCCTCTTATCATCAGCAGCGCATCGTCGCCAGCACCACTAGCTCTCGCCCCCAAGAACCTCATCTGCAGGGTTCTTGTTCCCAACAAGATCACCAAGAACTTGATCTGTAGGGTTTTTATCCCTAGAATCATCGCCAAGATCCTGGTCAGGTTTCTCTCCCACGACATCAGCATCGATACCCCGAGGAGGGTGCTCACCCATTTCTTCCTCTTACAGCTCAACCTCCTCGTATCCCATACTCCCCTTCCCCTTGGCACGAGGACTGCTGTCATTCGAAGATTGATCCCTGCAGTAGTCAGTCAGGATTGTCGGCAGCGACGACGACGATGTGGGGTTGGTGAGCTCCGTGATTGTTAGGGGCCGGGGTTGAGCTTCGATTTTCGCATCGACGGAAGATACTGCGACTGAGCGTGCCGATGGGTTAACATCGGGAGGAGGCAACGTCGCCAACGATCAGGAGGACGATGACGATAGGGGGCGCGCCTTCGCTCGTAACTGCTCTTTCTTCCAACCGACCTTTCGAAAAAACCGCCACGAATTCTGCCTCTCGGAGTTCGTCATTATCTCTGGCGGTGAAGGGGAGGGAGGGAGAGAGGAGAACAAAATAATATTGGTTCTTGAAAGAAAGAAAGAAAGAGAGAGAGTGATGAGAGAGAACAGAAAGGTTTAAGGGCCTTTATATTTTAGCAAATTGAAGGGTTTTTTTCTCGTTTACTTGCTCTCTAAGTTAACCGGTTAAGGGACACTTTCGGTATTTTTGTTTAAATTTTGTTTGAAAAGAAATGCTTTTGTAAGAACTAATAATTAAACTTATAAAATGCATTTTCTTGAAGTTTAATTATTAGTTTTTTAAAAAAACATTTCTTTTCAAACAAAATTTAGACAAAAATACCGAAAGTGCCCCTGTAACCGGTTAACTTGGAGAGCAAGTAAACGAGAAAAAACCCTTTAATTTTCTAAAATATAATGGCCTTTAACCGTTTCTGTTCTCTCTCATCACTCTCTTTCTTTCTTTCAAGAACCAATATTACTTTGTTCCCCTCTCTTCGCCTCACCGCCAGAGATCATGACGATCTCCGAGAGGCGGAATTTGTGGCGGTTTTTCTGGTTTTTTTGAAAGCTCGGTCGGAAGAAGAGCAGTTACGAGCGAAGGCGCACCCCCTATCGTCGTCGTCGTCCTCTCGACCGTCGGTGACGTCGCCTCCTCCCTTTGTTAACTCGTCAGCACGCTCGGCCGTAGTATCTACCGTCAATGCGAAAATCGAAGCCCAAGCCTAACCCCTAACAATCACAGAGCCCACTAACCCCACATCGTCGTTGCAGCCGTCGACAGTCCTTATTGACTATTGCAGGGATCAATCTTCGAATGCCAGCAGTCCTCGTGCCAAGGGGAGGATGGGGTACGGGGAGGTTGAGTTGCAGGAGGAAGAGAGGGGCAAGCACCCTTCTCAGGATATCGGTGGTGATGTCGGGGGAGAGAAACCTGACCAGGATCTTAGCGATGATTCTGGGGGTAAAAATCCTGCAGATGAGGTTCTTGGTGATCTTGTTGGGAACAAGAACCCTGCAGACGAGGTTCTTGGGGGCGAGAGCTAGTGGTGTTGGCGATGATGCGCTGCAGATGATAAGAGGGGCAAGATGTATGCGTAGGATGGCGAGCAATAGTTGTGGGGGAGTAGGGGAGATGTTGTGAAGGCTGAGTGATTAGGCAATCGGGAGGAGAGGGACAAAAGGCAGTGAGGGAGGCCGATAGGGAGGAGAGGGCCAGGCAGAGGGATGAAAGAGACAGAAAGACAGGACAGAGCCGAGGAGAGGGGTGAAAGAGAAATAGAGGGACAACAGGACCAGAGAGGAAAAAGCGAAGGAGAGGGATGAAAGAGACGGAGAGGCATGAGAGGGGTGAAAGAGAGGGACGACAGGGCTAAGGAGAGGGATGAAAGAGGCGGGAGAGGGCCGATGAGAGGGGTGAAAAAGAGAAAGGTAGGGATCACTGGGCCATTGAGAGGGTCGGGAGGAGAGGGCGAAGGAGAGGGAGGAGAGGACCAAGGAGAGGGATGAAAGATGAGATAATACTAAAGTCTAACACTATGAGACCTCTCCCCCTCATAATATATGAAATAATTTAAAGAACAAGGTTACGCGTTCGATTTTCTTTATACCTCACTAAATTCGACAAAAACCGACATCAATCCAAGGGATTAATTTTATAAGTTTTACTATAATAATAATAATAATAACAAGAGCAATAATAGCAATGACAATAATAACAATCATGATAATAATAGCATATAAGTGTTATACAACATATAGAGGGAAAAATTTTGCCTCAAATTATCACTTATAAAGTATTTACAATTTGTAAGTAAATCAAATTAATTCCCTTTTGGTTGCTTTGGTATCGCTACCAAAACTTATATTATCTGCATTCAGTGAAGCTACATAGCTCAAAATTTTGAGACGTATTAAAATCTCATAAAGGTCGCATCTCCTCAAACAAAAAAAAAAAACAAAAAGAAAGAAAGAATGCGAGAGATTAAATGATAATGCTAAGCTCCCGACCTAGCTAGATTCACCAAGGAATTAAGCAAAAATCAATAGACAAACATTTTTCCACATAGAGAAAATGCATTTTATAAGTTTAATTATTAGTTCTTTAAAAAAGCATTTCTTTTCAAACAAAATTTAGATGAAAATATCGAAAGTGCCCCTTTAATCAGTTAACTTGGAGAGCAAGCAAATGAGAAAAACCCTTAAATTTTCTAAAATATAAGGCCCTTAACCGTTTCTGTTCTCTCCCATCCACACTCTCTCTCTCTCTTTCAAATCCAGGATATACTCTGTTCTCCTCTTTCCCTCTCTCCCGCTCACGCCATGATATCATGACGATCTCTGAGAGGCAGAATTCGTGGTGGTTTTTTCGAAAGGTCTGTCGGAAGAAGAGTAGTTATGAGCGAATGCACGCCCCTATCGTCGTCCTCCTCCCGACCGTCGGCGACGTCGCCTCCCGATGTTAACCTGTCGGCATGCTCAACTGTAGTATCTTTCGTGGATGCGGAAATCGAAGCCTAAGCCAGACCCCTAACAATCGCGGAGCCCATCAACCCCACATCGTCATCGCCGCCGTTGACGGTCCTCACTGACTACAGCAGGGATCGATCTCCGAACGCCTGCAGTCTTCGTGCCTAGGGGAAGGTGAGGATAGGGTACAGGGAGGTTGAGCTACAGGAGGAAGAGGGGCGGGCACCCTCCTCAGGGTATCAGTGGTGATGTCGGGGGAGAGAAACCTGACCAGGATCTTGGCGATAATTTTGGGGGCAGGAACCTTGTAGATCAGGTTCTTGGCGATAATTCTGGGGGCGGGGGCAGGAACCTTGTAGATCAGGTTCTTGGTGATCTTGTTGGGAACAAGAACCTTGCAGAGAGGTTCTTGGGGGCGAGAGCTAGCGGTTCTGGTGACGTTGCACTGCTGATGATAAGAGGGAGAAGAGGTATGCGTAGGATGGTGAGCAATAGTTAGGAGAGAGATGTTGTGAAGGCTGAGTGATTGAGAGAGACAAAGGCAGGAGAGGACCGAGAAGAGGGGTGAAAGAGAGAAAGAGAGGGACCACCGGGCCATTAAGAGGGCCAGGAAGAGGGAAGAAAAGGCGATTGAGAGGGAGGAGAGGGCGAATGAGAGGGAGGAGAGAGTCATTAAAAGGGCCAAGGAGAGGGATGCAAGAGACAGAGTCAGGAGAGGGTTGAGGTGAGGGGTGAAAGAGGGAAAGAAAAGCAGGAGAGAGCCGAGGAGAGGGGTGAAAGATAGAAAGAGAGGGACGACATGACCATCGAGAGGGTAGGGAGAGGGAGGAAAAGGTGAAAGAGAGGGACGAGAGGGCCAAGGAGAGGGTGAAGAGGGTCATTGAAAGGGCCAAGGAGAGGGATGAAAGAGACAGAGAGGGACGAGGAGGGGTGAAAGAGAGAGAGAGGGACGACAGAGTCATTGAGGGGCAGGGAGAGGGAGGAAAAGGCGAAGGAGAGGGCCAGGGAGAGAGGAGAGGGCTGTTGAAAGGGCTAAAGGAGGGGATGAAAGAGACAAAGAGAGCCAGGAGAGGGGTGAAAGAGAGAAAGAGAGGGACGACAGGGTCATTGAGAGGGGCAGGGAGAGGGAGGAGAGGGCCGTTGAAAGGGCCAAAGGAAGGGATGAAAGAGACAAATAGAGGCAGGAGAGGGCCGAGGAGAGGAGTGAAAGAGAGAGAGAGAGGGGGGGACGACATGGCCATTGTGAGGGTCAGGGAGAGGGAGGAGAGGGTCATTGAAAGGGCCTAGGAAAGAGATGAAAGAGACAGAGAGGCAGGAGAGGGTCGAGGAGAGGGGTGAAAGAGAGAAAGAGAGGGATAACAGGCCCATTGTGAGGGCCAGGGAGAGGGAGGAGAGGGCCATTGAAAGAGCCAAGTAGAGAGATGAAAGAAACAAAGAGAGGCATGAGAGGAGAGGTGAAAGCGAGAAATAGAGGGACAACAGAGCCTTTGAGGGGCCAGGGAGAGGGAGGAGATGGCGAAAGAGAGGGAGGCGATGGCCATTGAAAGTGCCAAGGAAGGGATGAAAGAGACAGATAGGCAGGAGAGGGCCGAGGAGAGCGGTGAAAGAGAGAAAAAGAGGGATGACTGGGCCATTGAGAGGGCTAGGGAGAGGGAGGAAAAGACGAAGGAGAGGGTCATTGAAAGGGCCAAGGAGAGAGATGAAAGAGACAAAGAGAGGCAGAAGAGGGCCGAGAAGAGGGGTGAAAGAGAAAGTGAGAGACGATAGGGTCATTAAGAGGGTCAGGGAGAGGGAGGAAAAGGCGAAGGAGAAGGCCAGGGAGGGGGACATGGAGAGGGGTGAGAGACAAAGAGAGGGTTGAATAGAGGGGTGAAAGAGAGAAAGAGAGGGACAACAGGGCCACCGCCAGAGATCATGACGATCTCTGAGAGGCAGAATTCGTGGTGGTTTTTTCGAAAGGTCTGTCGGAAGAAGAGTAGTTATGAGCGAATGCACGCCCCTATCGTCGTCCTCCTCCCGACCGTCGGCGACGTCGCCTCCCGATGTTAACCTGTCGGCATGCTCAACTGTAGTATCTTTCGTGGATGCGGAAATCGAAGCCTAAGCCAGACCCCTAACAATCGCGGAGCCCATCAACCCCACATCGTCATCGCCGCCGTTGACGGTCCTCACTGACTACAGCAGGGATCGATCTCCGAACGCCTGCAGTCTTCGTGCCTAGGGGAAGGTGAGGATAGGGTACAGGGAGGTTGAGCTACAGGAGGAAGAGGGGCGGGCACCCTCCTCAGGGTATCAGTGGTGATGTCGGGGGAGAGAAACCTGACCAGGATCTTGGCGATAATTTTGGGGGCAGGAACCTTGTAGATCAGGTTCTTGGCGATAATTCTGGGGGCGGGGGCAGGAACCTTGTAGATCAGGTTCTTGGTGATCTTGTTGGGAACAAGAACCTTGCAGAGAGGTTCTTGGGGGCGAGAGCTAGCGGTTCTGGTGACGTTGCACTGCTGATGATAAGAGGGAGAAGAGGTATGCGTAGGATGGTGAGCAATAGTTAGGAGAGAGATGTTGTGAAGGCTGAGTGATTGAGAGAGACAAAGGCAGGAGAGGACCGAGAAGAGGGGTGAAAGAGAGAAAGAGAGGGACCACCGGGCCATTAAGAGGGCCAGGAAGAGGGAAGAAAAGGCGATTGAGAGGGAGGAGAGGGCGAATGAGAGGGAGGAGAGAGTCATTAAAAGGGCCAAGGAGAGGGATGCAAGAGACAGAGTCAGGAGAGGGTTGAGGTGAGGGGTGAAAGAGGGAAAGAAAAGCAGGAGAGAGCCGAGGAGAGGGGTGAAAGATAGAAAGAGAGGGACGACATGACCATCGAGAGGGTAGGGAGAGGGAGGAAAAGGTGAAAGAGAGGGACGAGAGGGCCAAGGAGAGGGTGAAGAGGGTCATTGAAAGGGCCAAGGAGAGGGATGAAAGAGACAGAGAGGGACGAGGAGGGGTGAAAGAGAGAGAGAGGGACGACAGAGTCATTGAGGGGCAGGGAGAGGGAGGAAAAGGCGAAGGAGAGGGCCAGGGAGAGAGGAGAGGGCTGTTGAAAGGGCTAAAGGAGGGGATGAAAGAGACAAAGAGAGCCAGGAGAGGGGTGAAAGAGAGAAAGAGAGGGACGACAGGGTCATTGAGAGGGGCAGGGAGAGGGAGGAGAGGGCCGTTGAAAGGGCCAAAGGAAGGGATGAAAGAGACAAATAGAGGCAGGAGAGGGCCGAGGAGAGGAGTGAAAGAGAGAGAGAGAGGGGGGGACGACATGGCCATTGTGAGGGTCAGGGAGAGGGAGGAGAGGGTCATTGAAAGGGCCTAGGAAAGAGATGAAAGAGACAGAGAGGCAGGAGAGGGTCGAGGAGAGGGGTGAAAGAGAGAAAGAGAGGGATAACAGGCCCATTGTGAGGGCCAGGGAGAGGGAGGAGAGGGCCATTGAAAGAGCCAAGTAGAGAGATGAAAGAAACAAAGAGAGGCATGAGAGGAGAGGTGAAAGCGAGAAATAGAGGGACAACAGAGCCTTTGAGGGGCCAGGGAGAGGGAGGAGATGGCGAAAGAGAGGGAGGCGATGGCCATTGAAAGTGCCAAGGAAGGGATGAAAGAGACAGATAGGCAGGAGAGGGCCGAGGAGAGCGGTGAAAGAGAGAAAAAGAGGGATGACTGGGCCATTGAGAGGGCTAGGGAGAGGGAGGAAAAGACGAAGGAGAGGGTCATTGAAAGGGCCAAGGAGAGAGATGAAAGAGACAAAGAGAGGCAGAAGAGGGCCGAGAAGAGGGGTGAAAGAGAAAGTGAGAGACGATAGGGTCATTAAGAGGGTCAGGGAGAGGGAGGAAAAGGCGAAGGAGAAGGCCAGGGAGGGGGACATGGAGAGGGGTGAGAGACAAAGAGAGGGTTGAATAGAGGGGTGAAAGAGAGAAAGAGAGGGACAACAGGGCCGTTGAGAGGGCTAGGGACTGGGAGGAAAAGGCGAAGGAGAGGGAGGAGAGGACGAAGGAGAGGGCTATAGAAAGGGCCGAGGAGAGGGATGAAAAAGACAAAGAGGGGCATGAGAGGGCTGAGGAGAGGGGTGAAAGAGAGAAAGTGAGGAATGACAGGGCCATTGTGAGGGCCAGGGATAGAGAGGAAAAGGCGAAGGAGGGGGATGAGAATATAATTTAGTTGTCTGATTGGATGATGTTGGAAAGAAATTCGAAACACTTTTGTTGACAGCACGATCACTTGTCAACCAGTTTTTACAGGAAATTTTCCATCGCATCACTGTTATTTACTCGTCAGAAGTTTTCAAGGGTAGAAAAATATTCATGTTATGTGTATTTTTTTTATCCATGCATTTTGCTCTTGTACTGTACAATTGCCTCTTTGTTGCGTGAGTGTCTTATGAAAAATATTTGTTGGGTCTTCGATCGGATTGGTGGTTATGATGTTGGAAAGGAATTTACAGCGCTTAGTTGACGGGACAATCACTTGAACACGTGTTGCTGAATTGTGGATGCTTATGGCAAACTTTGAACATTGGTAGTTGATTTTTTGTTTAATACATGTGGCAAAATCGGTTGGAGAATTGGTGTTTATGTTTTGATAAGATACGTTGTGTGTTTTGTCAATTTATGTTGTGTGCATTGTTTTGATAAGATCATATGCTATTAGTATAAGAACAAAGCACTATCCCTTTGGTGTTTATAAATTTCATGAGCTTTTATTTTATTTTTTTATCATTTATTATTTGGTAAAATGTTTTAATATCATGCAAAGGTTATTTGTGTAAATTTACATATATTTTCTTTCCTTCCCTTCCCTCCATTAGTACTCCCAAACAAGTTAAATTAAGTTCACCTTCATTCACCTTACTCAACTCCCAAACAACATATTACAATTCCCCTTCCTTTCCTTACCTTCCCTTTCCCTTGTTTATCTTTCCTTCCCTTTCCTCAGTGAACTCCCAAACATAGCATTACTCTCTTGCCGCCGATCTCCCTCATCGTCAGGTACTACTACCATCTATTTCTCCTAATTTCTTGCGAATTATTTTTTTTAGCGAAGGATTCGAGCAAAGGGATCCAGTTGTTGCTTTGATTTCTTCATTTAGGGTTTCTGATTGTATCAGTTCACTGAATATGAAATTGCTTATTAGCTGAGAATCTTTTTTATTGGTTCTAAAGGATTTTGGTTAGATCGAGTTATAACTATGATCTTATTTTGATTAAAAAAAAAAGAAAGTTCTCCATTTTTTTATTCAGACATTTTAATTTTAATTTTTTTGGTAGAAATCCTTACAAAAAATGGAGACAGATGGAGGCCAGAAGCTAAAGATCGCCGTCATCCATCCTGACCTTGGAATTGGTTTGCGTTCTTCTCTTCTGTGTTTCTTTTTATTTTTTATTAAATTTATTAATATCAGGGGCTTGCAACTGTCAAAATATGATGGGTAGAAAGGGGATTTTTAGAGAGTGTATGTATTTATAATAAATCACATGAATATGGCAGTTAATGTTTTCCCTCGTAAACTTTAAGAGTGAAGCCTGTTATTCATTTGAGTATAATAGGACAGATTCTTCATGTGCTTACATTGTTATGTGCATATGATAGTCATTATATGGAGATGCTTCTTGCCCAGTGTAAGAACTCCTGTTAGTTTAATGCAGGTGGAGCTGAAAGATTGATCGTGGATGCGGCAGTTGAACTCGCGGACCATGGCCACAGTGTTCATGTTTTCACAGCACATCATGACAGAAGCCGTTGTTTTGAGGAAACAGTTGCTGGTGAGAATCTTGTGGACCTTGAGGAGTAAAATCTTTAATAGCCGATTCTTCGGCTTTTTAGTATTTCTGGAATCAGATAATACAAGATGCATGCAGCATATCTAATATCAATATTTATTAGTGTTCTCGTCAGTTTTATAGTATTTCTGGATTGTTGATGATTTTTCAAAAATTTCAGAAATTTATAGCTTATCTTTGCAATTGTATGATATAGGTAAGCGAATGTAATTGTTTTCTGCCTGCTGTTCAGGTCCTTTTCCTGTTACGGTATATGGCGATTTCTTGCCTCGCCATATTTTCTACCGCTTCCACGCAGTGTGTGCATATCTTCGATGTATCTATGTTGCCATTTGTGTGCTTCTCTTCTGGTCATCTTTCGACATTGTATTGGCAGACCAGGTCTCTATAGTTGTTCCCCTCATGAAATTCAAAAGATCAACGAAGGTAATCTCTTCAGCAAGCATTCTTTTCTTCATGCATAATACTGAACAATTGATTTCCCCTGCTTTTTGTGTTTCTTTTCCTTTTGTTTTAGAACCAATGTAGCCATTAATGTTGTTACCATTGTAACCAAAACACTGTTTGTGATAGAGATATATCTGAACTATGATAAACATGTTAATAATTTTTTTTGTTGCCAGATAATTTTCTACTGTCATTTTCCGGATTTGTTACTTGCACAACATACAACTACTGCCAGGAGGTTGTACCGGAAACCAATCGACTTGCTTGAAGAGGCAACTACTGGTCTGTCTCATATGCATTCCTTTTTCTTTTCATTTTTTGATAATATCTACTCTTTTTTCTAAACATGTATTGAACTGGTCTTTTCTCTTTATTGCTCATGCTTATCTAGTGCCTAGACTAAATGATAATGATATTTGCAGGTATGGCCGATTTAGTACTTGTTAACAGCAGATTCACCGCATCTACATTTGCAAAGACATTCTCGTGTCTTCATTCAAGAGGAATCAGACCTGCTATTCTTTACCCTGCAGTCAACATGGGCCAATTTGATGGACCTTGTGCTTATAAGTAACTGACATGCTTGTATATACCTTATTATAAGTAACTACAGATCAAATAGATGTTGTTGCTACTTGGTAACCTCTTCTCTTGTTACTCAAATTCCTTTTTTTTTCAGGTTGAATTTCCTTTCTGTTAATCGTTTTGAAAGAAAGAAGAATCTTCAACTGGCAATTTCGGCATTTGCATTGCTCCGTTCCTTGGGGAGCACTCTTCCTGACCAAAGCTTATCTGAAGCTACCTTGACAATAGCAGGTGATTGCTACAAATGTTTATGGTTTTCTCTTTTGTTGCATCACTGTCTAATATATTTTTTAATAAAACGGTTGGAAGCTTAGCTTGGTGGCTTTTTTTATTTACGGGTCTACTTTGATCGTCCATAAATGTAACTGCTGCATTATGAATTTGATGATATTTTCTTTTGTTATCATATATGATAGCTTGTCTTTTCATTTATGCTCACTCACATTTACATTTACTCGACAGTTGTCTGCGGAAGGTCATTCTATGAGGAGGATCATCACAAACTAAAATAAACATTACTCTTGTAGTTTATGAGTTCACTGCATTCATTTTGCTTACGATGGTTTTGTTTTTCAGGTGGCTTTGACAAACGTCTGAAGGAAAATGTCGAGTATCTAGAGGAACTTAAAGAGTTGGCTGAAACTGAAGGAGTTTCTGATCGTGTTAGGTTTGTTACATCCTGCTCAACTGCAGAAAGAAATGCTCTGCTCTCTGAATGTCTGTGTGTTTTATATACCCCAAAGGTAAACAGAGTCCATTATAATTTTTTTAAAGATACTTTTCCTCCTGGTTGTGTTGTTGATAAGAGTTCAATGAAATATCCCAATAACAACAAAAATACGCCAAACTGAAGAAAGAGAAAACATACCAGGCAATAAAACTACGCAAATGACCAGAAGTAAGCAAACTATAGAGTCAGCAATGATTCCCTCCAAAAGATATAAGCATGAGCCAAAATACAGTCCTCCTGAATCAAGAGAAAAAAAATCCAGATGCGATAGATGTAAAGTAGTTGCCCCTCCATGATATTATCTTTTCCCACTCCTTGATCCTCATAAGACGAAACATCTGAATTACCCCTCTTTAATACAAATTTATAAAGTTTAAATCAGCCGAAGCTTTGGATTCTGACGTAAAACTTCTTGTTCGATCTCTGCAGGATGAACACTTTGGCATTGTTCCTCTAGAAGCAATGGCAGCACAAAAACCGGTTATTGCTTGCAACAGTGGAGGCCCAGTTGAGACGATTATACATAAAACTACAGGATTTCTCTGTGATCCAACTCCTCTAGAATTCTCGAAGCATATGGCTAAACTTATGGCCACTCCTGAAATGCCTATAAAGTTGGGTGAAGAGGCACATCGACATGTCACTGAGAACTTCTCTATCAAGGTATTCGGTGAACAGCTTAACCATTATGTTCTTGAGACTTTCCATCAAAGAATGGAATAAGATACAAGTTGATACTTTCAAGTTCCCATTCAAAAGCTCAGATGATTCTGAAATTTATAACCCTCAGTTTTTTGTTTCTTAAGGGTCCGTGATCTTGAACATACTGAAATTGATACATATCTAATGAGTAGTGGACATGCTTCAGTGTATTTATCGAAGGTGTACATACATTTTCAGGTTAGTGACATTTAGAGGAACTTGTCGCTTGTTTAGTCGATCCATTTGAATTTAAAAGCAGATTGATCAGTAATGGCTCATTTAGAGGAACTTGTCGCTTGTTTAGTCGATCCATTTGAATTTAAAAGCAGATTGATCAGTAATGGCTCCATTTCCTTTCAGTAGACTTATTAGTTGCTAATTACCTTTAGTGAGGACGACAGTGTAGTTGTCTATTGATGACTTTGTATCTCAGGCATATGTTGTTTTCGTTAGATGACATAATGGATCAAATTACATTCTGTGAATGATAGTTTTGAGGAAAGATAAGCAAACAAATCCATTATTTGCAGTAAAATTGTGTCTTAATCACCACCGATATTTTGAATTTGGAATCAAAGTGGAGATTCTTAATCCATTGAATCGTATCATCTAGAGATTGGCACTCGATCCTCTTTTAAGTCTAAATCAGTTTGCATGAATTACCTTTTCTTGAGAGATTTTTACGAGATGCTTAATTTCGCGAGTACACTTACAAGAGTTTCAGATTTTTTTTTTTTGAAAATGCTGGACCTCCTTCAGACAAGTCGCGACGCCAACAAGCTCGCCGCGTACTCCACAGTCTACGCTGGACCCCTGTCGCTTCTGTAACGGATTGCTGGTTGATTCTCTTTTCCTTGTTCCTCGATTCAGTACCGTGCTTATTCTCTATTTCCTTCATCGCAAAACTTTTCACAGGATGATAATTTCGTTTACTATATTTTACAGGGAACTGTTTACCCTAAAAATAATTTTCTCTAAAGTTTCAGACACCTGCTGCACATGATAATTAAACCCTGTAACTCCTACATAAAATGTCCTCAATAAATTTCTGTTCGATTTTATGCTTTCTATAATTAAACCCTGTCATCAGAAAAGATAGCGGGGAAAAAAAACTAGTTCTCTTTTAAGTTGCTTCCTTCATCTTCGTTTGTTAAGGCTCCCAAGTAAAAAAAACAACTTATCAGTTACTTTCGCCAGCAACAAAAAATAGCCATATGTTTGAAATTCGGGAAAGAAACAGCTCTCTTCCATCAAAAATACAAACTGTTCGAACATCAATATCATGTCGAACGTATTACTCACCCACCCGCGTTCGAACATCAACGTTATGTAGCCATGCATGTAATTGACAATGCTAATAATAATGAGAGAGCGTACTTTATTTTTCAAAGTAAAAAAATTCAACAAAAATAGCTGTAAATTTTATAACTTATTAACTATATGGTAATACCACTTTCCAGAAATTAATACTCGATCCGCCATTGCAGTTGCTGGTTCATAAAGCTCCGAAATCATTGCGGAAAAGCCACGTAATTAATCAAGTGGCTTAATTTCTTCTTTAGCAACCAAATTCATATTCCACCTTCGCTTTCCGAAAAATATTTAGCACATCATCAATTGGAGTTTTAGAGGTTACGGCAGATCTAAGTAGATCAAGAGCCTGCACCAAAGTCAAGAGTGTTAAAAAACAACACAGTAAGAGTAAAGGTGGATAGCCTACAATAAACATGTAACTGTCAAGGAAACAATGAATCACCTGCATTTCTCCAAATACGGCCCTCTTCATCTCTAGATCGCTGAACGAAAGATCCTGGCTCTTGACAGTTTGGAGCGAGGAAGAGGCGGATAATTGAGACACACAAAGATCAGTAGTCACCAGGAATTTCCCCTTGGCATATCCACCACCTGTTTCTGTTCTTCCCTCAGGAGATTTTGGATTCAACATCCTAAAATCTGCCCGCTTCACGCCGTGGACACATTCTGAAGCTTCACAATCTATATCATTATTATTCCAGAAGCAACTGTAACAACCACGGCAAAAACCCTTAGGGGGTGCAATTTCATCCACCTTTAGCATGTTACCAGTGTAACCAAAAAATGATGCAAGCTTAGGAGAGAGAAGAATATCCCTGCATTCCTCAGATTTGAACTTGTCTGAACTAACCTTTGTGGCACTTCGATACAAGTTATCGACACATCCCAAGAACGACTTGTTATTTTGGAGCTTGATCAGGGCGCCAAGAGGCAAGGTTAGGAAACTAAATATAAAGTTCACATAATCTTCTTCAACTTCTACAAATGACACTTTTTTCGTAGACTTGTTTAAAAACAAATTGATGTGTGTTTCTTTTGATTCAGCTTCTGTGTTGCTTTCTCTTTTAACTCGAATCATGTTTTTAATATCGATTCCTTGTGATGCATCATTCGTCACACCCACATTTTTGAAAAACAAGTCAGTAAGCGGAGAACTGGAGACCAGCAGTCTTCGAAGCAATGTCAATATCTGCAATTGTTAAATACAAATTACACAATACAAAGGTTTGTTGAGTAAAACCATTTCATTAGAAAGCGAAAAGGGGAGTCCAAATAGTGAACCCTGGTCAATTATCGACAGCAACTCATAATTTTACAGATACAGGACACCAACTTGAGTTGAAATCACAGGAAGCAGTTGGTTCAATACAAATATAATTATGTAATTATTTTGGATTTGCTCTATTAGGTAATTATGTTGTAATCTTAAAGTAATATAATTATTCTATTTCTAAAAATCTCAATATATTAATCGATATTCTGCCTTTACAAACATAGGGGCGAAGATTTTTCTAAAATTTTATCAGTGATGGGCAATTTACGGTATGATAGATATTAGGTTTCGGCTTTAAATAAATTTAATAAGAAATCTGTCATCACAAGCATTCATATTACCACTTTTGCTGCTAGTGAAGGTGAAGCCAGTTTGAACTTTGTTGTCTTAAAATTACTCATACTTGTGAAGTCAAACGACTAATTACCTCGTCTCTACCGAGATCCATAACCTTCTCCTCCAGGGTGCATTCATCTTCCTTTCCCAATTTCCGAATGAAAGAAAGGTAATGCTCCATAGAAAACGGAGTTATACGAAGGTCATCAGTAATCATAAACTTATCTCCACTCTTGACAAATAGTTTGCCAGCATCCACATTCCCTTTCGCCCGCGTTCTCCTTGAATCCATAGTTTCTCGACAGTGAGGACATCGAGCATTCAAAACAGAGCTGCCCAAGCATGTGGCCTTGGCACAACAACCAGCCTTTCGACAAACATAGATGGTCCTTGGATTCGACTCTCTGCTATCAATATTTACCTTTAGATCTTCACATCGTACAGCTGCAGCGCTTTGAGGGAAGAGAAGCATGGTCTTGCATGCCTCAGTCTGGAAATTATGCACATCAAGATTCTCGACGCTCCCATACAATTTGTCCATGCATCCAATATTAGATTGCTTGTTGAGGAGCCTGACGATGGTTCCCAATGGCAGGGTGAGGAAGCTGAAGAGGATGTCAATAAAGTCGCTGTCCGCTTCGGCCAGCGCCACCCTTTGCTTCGCCTTGTCCACGAAAAAACTAATGGTTACCTTTTTTTGTTTCCTGGCCATGCTGAAATGTATGATCCTCCTTCATTCAAGAGAACCTACAGCATAGTGCAAGAACATGCAGCCTTTGCCGCAAGAAAATAGGCTGAAAAGGTTTCTTGACGTGTAACCTTCAAATCCTATCTATTTAGAGAAGGTTCCACAAAAAAGGGGGGAAAAACAAAAATATATCAATCTGCTTCATGTTCACATTCTATCAAGCAAGTATAGAGAGTAAGATCAACATCCAAATATTTACTATCCACTAATATTAACTATTGGCTTATAAACGGACATGTGAACATGATTACGATACCACTCCGATTAATATGGTATACAAATTGAACGAGTATAAAGAAGAGAAAAGATGATATCTTTGAAGGGGGGCTCCGGTAATGGGTAAGAGGTTTTCTTTTTTTCGTTGTATTTTCTAAAGGAAATCATCCCTCCTTTTATAGGGGCTAACCCACTATCTCCACCCCCCTTCAGTTCCGCCCCATGAGAGATTTCCTCTCAACAAACCATTCCACGTTCCCACGTTTCTCTCAACAGAGAAACAAACGTTGATTTGGTCACCATTAGACCGAGTCTATGCAACATCTCCCACTTGACCAAATTAACCAAGTGGCATGCCTCTCACTATCCGTGAGATCAGATGTTTCTGCTTACTATTACTCCCACTATCCGTAGAGAGTAACTCTTATTTCATTATTCATGAAATTTTACTTGAACTTATTTATTCCTAAGTCCCATCAAACTTACATGTTTGATAAAAGATTCCGCTGGTATTCCTTTTGTCAAAGGATCAGCAATCATATCTGTAGTAGGGATATAAGTCACTTTGACTTCTCCCTTTTCTACAATATCTCGAATATAGTGATACTGGATCTCAATATGTTTTCCTTTGGAGCTATTCGCGCCACTATTGATTAAGCTAATTGCTGCTTGATTATCACAATAAATATCAATAGGTCCTTCTAACAAATTGAGATCAAGATCAATCAAAAACCGTCTTATCCAGACAGCATGTGTAGTTGCCATACTGCAAGCTATATATTCAGCTTCTTGCGTATATCTAGCAACACACCCTTGTTTCTTACTACTCCAAGAAACAGCTCCTCCTCCAAAGATAAATAAGTGTCCCGAAGTGGACTTTCCATCATCTTTATCACCTCCGAAATCAGCATCGGAATAACCGAGGAGTTCAAGCGAATCAGCTTGATAAACTAATCTATGAGTCAATGTACCTCTGATATACTTCATAATCCTTTTAACAGCTTCCCAATGTGCTGGTCCTGGATTACTTTGATATCTACTGACTAGACTCACAGCATAAGCTATATCAGGTCTGGTGCACAACATTGCATACATCAAGCTTCCAATTGCTTGAGCATAAGGAACATCTAATGGCTTCTGCCCCTCTCCAGGGCTTTGCTCTTTACATAATCTCTTTCCCATAACCAACGGAGTTGGTGCCGGATTGGAATTCTCCATTCCAAACCTTTTAAGAACTGATCTTAAATATTTTTCTTGGTTTAAACTTAGCATTCTAGACTTTCTATCTCGAATTATTTGAATTCCAAGAATATATGATGCATCTCCCATGTCTTTCATCTCAAACTTTTCGCTGAGATCTGCCTTGGTTTTATTCAACATTTCTATGTCATTTCCAGCGAGCAATATATCATCCACATATAAGGATAATATAGTAAACTTGCTCCCACTTTTCAAGACATATACACAATTATCTAATTTATTTTGAATAAAACCAAGTTTAGTAACTGCATCATGAAATTTGAGATACCATTGTCTAGAAGACTGTTTTAAACCATATAGAGATTTCATTAATTTGTAAACTTTATGTTCCTGTTCTTTCACCTGAAAACCTTCAGGTTGTTGCATATATATTGCTTCCTTCAACTCTCCGTTAAGGAATGCAGTTTTAACATCCATTTGGAATAACTCCAAATCAAGATATGCAACAATAGCCAAAATAATTCTAATGGATGCAAATTTAGCTACAGGAGAATACGTCTCCTGAAAATCTATTCCTGCCTTCTGGTTATAACCTTTGGCAACTAACCGTGCTTTGAATTTATCAATAGATCCATCAACACGATATTTCTTTTTGAGCACCCATTTGCATCCTATGGCTTTCCTATTTTCTGGTAGATCACATAACTCCCATACCTTATTCTTTTCTATGGAATCAAGTTCTTCTCTCATAGATTCTAGCCATGAAGCTGATTCATGCGATTTCATCGCATCAGAAAAAGTTAAGGGATCTTGTTCTTCTATATTTGTATCTACCGAAAAACAGGATGACTCACATGAATACAAATAGTAATCATCCATCCATGAAGGTTGTGTTCTTGGTCTTTTGTTGCCTACAACCGGTTGATTAGGTACATTATTTTCCATAGGTATTTCATCATTTTCAAGGTTAGGTTCATTCACAATATCAGGGTCATTAGTGGGAACAACACTGTAATAATCATCATCTATTACAGTTAGAGGTTCTGTTTCCTCTTGAACTTGTTCCTCTTCCTCTAGATTCTCTAGAAATGTAGCATCTCTGCTTTCAATGACACCTTTTTCTTTATTGTAGAACTTATAACCTTTTGACTTTTCTGAATACCCTATGAATCTACACTTTATTGTTTTAAAATCCAACTTATCTCTAAGTTGACATGGAATGAGAACATGGGCTATAGATCCCCACTTCCTGAGATGACTCAAATTAGGTTTCCTCCCATTCCATAATTCATAAGGTGTAGATATAACTGATTTGGTGGGAATTCTATTTAAAATGTAGTTTGCAGTTAACAATGCTTCTCCCCAAAAGTTTTTAGAGAGACCAGAATGAGACAACATGCATCTAACTACATTTAATAATGTTCTGTTTTTTCTTTCAGCAACACCATTCTGTTATGGCGTATACGGCATTGTTGTATGCCTTTTAATTCCATGCTGAATACAATAACTTTCAAATTCTTTAGAATTATATTCTCCACCTCTATCAGTTCTCAGAATTTTGATTTTCAATCCAAGTTGATTTTCAACTTCTGTCTTATATCTCTTAAAGCAGTCAAAAGCTTCTAATTTTCTGGATATAAGATAGACGTGTGCAAACTTGGAATAATCATCTATAAAAGTAATAAAATATTCTTTATTACTATGAGTTTTGACACTTAGGGGACCACAAATATCCGAGTGTATCAACCCTAAAAGTTCATTGGCTCTTGAAATACCCAAACTTTCCACAATTGTAGCAGGCTCCACATGGTACTTTCTTTCTCTTGAATTGTTGTGACTTCGGTCCTCGCGGTTGTGGTTTACTAGGACCAGGGTTTTTATAGCTTCCAGTATTATGCCTCTGGCGGACATAATTCAGCTCTTGCTGCACCATATTCAGTTCTGGTTCCTTCCTACTGGCTATTAAGTCCTGTTCTATCGTTAGGTGTATAGGAAGATCAGTGACAGACTTAATGGCAGGATTCATTCTTAATGTGGTGGCAGCCACAGCAAGTGAAGGGGGAAGACTATTCAAAATGGTTGCTACTTGCATTCTTTCCGGGATTTCGGTCCCAGCAGTGGATAAGTCCTTAGCCATGACAATCATTTTATTTATATGCTCTACGACATTGTCTCCCTCTTGCATACGACAAGAATTATACTTATGCAAGAGTAGTTGGATGTTAACTTCAGAAGCAGTGTCGTATTTTTCTTTTATTGCATTCCACATGTCCATGGAAGTTTTATAAGTTTCAAAAACTTTGATTAAATTATCTTCCATGAACATGAGCATAAGACTTTTCGCCTTTTTGTCTTTCGACTTCCACTGTTCAAACCCTTTCTTTTCTTCAGGTGTTGATTTATCAGTAAGGGTTGGAGCAGTGGTTTCGATTATATCATCAATATTGTCATGAATAAGAGCATATCCTATTTTTCTATGCCACATATCATAATTACTGCCATTAAATTTGTCAATTTTCCCTAGTTCTGATAGAACGAGTTTACTAGCCATTCGGTAAGAACTAAAACTAAATTCAATTTAAATTTGTATGAGGTTGATATTTTGACAAATATAATAAAGTTAGATAAAATTAATTAAATAAATTAAAATGAACCTGATTTTTGTGAGTTGAGAAACGAAGCTCCAATTAAAGCGAGGTCGTCACTTAGCGGTGTTGACCGAAGAATCTGTTGTCGAAGTTTCGACGTCGTTTCTGACTGGATTGGAGATGATCAACTTGAAACAGTCGGGCCAGCAAACAAACACGATTGGAGATGATCAACTTGAAACAGTCGGGCCAGCAAACAAACACAACACTCAAAGGCCCAAAAAGAAAGCCCAAAACAATGTTAATGAAGATGTATTAATAGGAGGGCTCACGAATTTTGATGGGAAAAACTTGAAGAAAGGATTTTTTGTAGGCTTGGTGTAGGACAAGAAGGAATAGGGTAGACTTTATTGTATAGGACAAAAAATGCTAGCTTGCTAACTGGATGTGGATTCAAAGAGTAAAACCGAAAAAAAATGTTAATGAAGATGTATTAATAGGAGGGCTCACGAATTTTGATGGGAAAAACTTGAAGAAAGGATTTTTTGTAGGCTTGGTGTAGGACAAGAAGGAATAGGGTAGACTTTATTGTATAGGACAAAAAAATGCTAGCTTGCTAACTGGATGTGGATTCAAAGAGTAAAACCGAAAAAAATATGCTAGCTGGATGTAGACATGTAAGTGGGTTTAACTTGTAAACAATAGGCCTGTGACTATGAAAAGAGAGTAAACAATAGGTGTAGGCCTGTGGCTATGAACAAAAACCAAGGCAGAGAAATAAAAGAGAGTAGGTTGTGAACACTAGGACCGAAAAATAAAAGAGTTGGCCTTTCTTCTTCAGAAAAAAATACTGCTGGTTCTTCTTCTTCAACCTAGCTTCTCTTCTTCTTCAACAATGGTCTGGACCGATGGCTTCTCTCTACTCTTCAAAAAAAATCTTAATCCACCAGCTCTGATACCAGTGAACGAGTATAAAGAAGAGAAAAGATGATATCTTTGAAGGGGGGCTCCGGTAATGGGTAAGAGGTTTTCTTTTTTTCGTTGTATTTTCTAAAGGAAATCATCCCTCCTTTTATAGGGGCTAACCCACTATCTCCACCCCCCTTCAGTTCCGCCCCATGAGAGATTTCCTCTCAACAAACCATTCCACGTTCCCACGTTTCTCTCAACAGAGAAACAAACGTTGATTTGGTCACCATTAGACCGAGTCTATGCAACACAAATATCTTAATAAATTATTAAATTATTACATACTAAGACAACTGGTATCCGTTGTACGAATGATAGGTGGCAGTTGTTTTGGTCATTATTAATAAATTATTAAATTAATTCTCTTGGAAACAAATCAATACTAACTATTATATATGTTTGGCGAAAAGACTTATACCCAACTTGGTCCCCACACTTCATTTTTTTCCCAACTTTATTCCTCTTATTATTCAGTCCTCTTTTGTTCCTCTGTTAAAATTCAGTTAAATAGAATTTGAGAGGAAAATTCTACACCTACCTCCACTTTGTTCCTTTTGGAAAAAAGAAATATGATTGCATTCTGGCCGTCTCTCATTTTATCTCCTCTTCGCTTCTTTGTTTTTCTTAGTTGAATTCTAATGATATATGCCATCTCTGTGGGCAGGGTAGTAGTCTTCTATTCTTATCTTCGGTGTGTGTGAGGGGATTTTTTTTGCATTGG